ATTAAGGATTTTATAGAAATTTCTTAAACATAACGCAGATGATAAAATGCATTGTTGATATGGCCAGAACTAACACAAACAAATTACAATTCAAGGAGAGGCAATAATAACAATTTATATATATATATATATATATATATATATATATATATATATATACTGACAATAATTGATGTAAAAAAATAACTCGAATTATAATACCTATAGCTCATATGATAATAATCAGAAGGGCATACGAAGAATAAGGTGTTGAATTGAAACCACCGTGTACCTTTCCGTCTAAGACATAAATCTCCATTGCAACACGATTTTCAGGTTGGTTCTTGTCATGTTTGAACCGTATACGCTTAATTGTGTTGAAAACAATTGTCATGGTAAATTCAATTTTTTGTCAGATGAATAATTGAGATGAAGGAGCTATGAGAAATAACATCAACCTTACCTTCAAAAGACTCCAATGAATCGATCGACTTGATCTCAACTCTTAGGTCCCCATAGTTGAGCGAGACATCTTCTCTTTGATGGCCTTCATGGTTAAGTCACATCAACAACTCGGAAAAAAGAATTTAAATTAAAAAAGAGCCATCCAAGCTCGATATTCTAATTCAAATCAGATAACACCTCCTGAATGCATTAAATCATTAACATCATCCAAAAAAATGGAAATAAATGTAAAACTTTCAAGAGGAAATACCAAAAGTAAGAAATATGATTGTTCCATCAATTCTCTTCTTCCTTCATGTATTGTAACCTTCCAAATGTACGTTAAACACTACAGAATAAACAGTCCTAGGAATAATAAGGAAAAGGAAAACGGTAGTTTACTTGACAGGTTGTGGTGACACTCATGGAGCCATCCTCCTCGACACGGTGGATGGTACTCTTGTTTTGATAGAATTTATGAGCCAACTCCGGTGAGCTATGCAGAACGAAATAGTATTTCTCTACAAATACTCTCCCAACCTACCGTCCATAAGAAAGAACTCAAAGCGAGTACGAATAGATCAAATATAATTTTGAACCCAAAAAAATAAAAACTCACAATTTAAGTAGAAATTGGGTTGCTGAGATCCCACTGCCGCTGCCATTTTTGGATAAATAATCTTAACTTCAAGCAATCATCAGCCTACTGAGAAACAGACATGAGAATTAAGCTCAAAAACAACTATCTGCGTGTTATGAAAAAGGAAGAATTAAGGATTGTGATGACGGGAGAAAGAAAGGAAGGATTATTGGGCATAATAGGATTCTTAACATTTGAAACACGGAATTAAAATAAACTATGATAAGAATAAAAATCCTATTTGGAAGAGATAAGAATATGAATCCTATTTGGAGTTGGAGTCTTATTTATTTTAGAATATAATTGTATATTTTATCCGAACCAAAAGCCGAAGCATGTAATGTTGCCAAGTAAGTTTCCGAAGCGTGCGAGCCAGTCATGTAGGCTCAGCACGCTTTCAAATTATATTAAGGAGGGATGTGATGTGTGCAAGAATAATTGGTTGATATTATTTTATTGTATTGATAATATTAAAGGTACAGAGGTTGAGTTAAAGTTGAACTAAATGTGAGTTGTGATTGTTTTTTTTTTTTTTTTTTTTTTATATAACCTCGTGATGATGACATTGTTGAGTCTCGGGTTGAGAATG